TCTGGAAGCTGAAGTCCACACATCTTCAAGTCGCCAAGGTTGAGGAACCCTGTTCTAAAGGATCTGAAGAGCCATTTGGGCACCAGAGGCTGTGTAGCCTCAGACTGCTTTCTGATGTGTCCCTTGCTACCTTTAAAAAGGCCTTAATGCACCTGTTTTGGAAAGGCTTTTGATTTATTCATGATTTTGATCTTCAGTTGTTGTGGCTTTCATTTCATAGGTTATGGTAAACTGCCAAAATAATGTAGTATTCAGCAATAAATCTAATAGTGTAATAAATCTAAAGTCTAATAAAGAGATAAATTTTCTGCAGTCATCCAGCCTCATGGATGACATTTAATTGGGGGAGGCAGATGTTTTTTCACACCATGATAGCTTTCTAATGTTTTCTTACTATTTCTTCCATCTTTTTTCTTTCCTCAAATAATCTATTGAGGAAGACATTGCACAACATCTTTTGGCTAGCAGCAATCCACATAATCTCTTTGCCCTGCCGTAAGGTTGACCTGCTAACTGTTTCCTAAGCCCATCCAGATGACATCACTTATATTTCAGTGTGGCTGAGATAGCTTGAGAACATTTATGGTGCTCTACTTTGGAGGTCATGTTTTATTTATTTGTTTATTTACTTACAGGACTTATATGGCTGCCTATCTCATACAATGACTCTAGATGGCTTACTACAATCCATAAAACAGTTAAAAACATACCCTTCCACACAGGTGCCAGACCAAACATCTTCACAGCTCAGCACCTCATCCTAGCCCAATGCTTGGGGGAAGAGCCAGGTCTTCATGGCCCTCCAGAAGGCTAAAAGGGTAGGGATCTATCTGATCTCCTGTGGGAGGCTGTTCCAAAGGACTGGGGCGGCCACCAAGAAGGCACGCCTCTGAGGTCCCGTCAGATGCCAAAGTTTAAGGGAGGGGACCTGGAGTGCACCCACCCTATCTGACCTAGTAGGACAGACGGATACGCTCAGGGAGAGGTGGTCCCACAAGTAACCTGGCCCTGTGCCATGTAGGGCTTTAAAGGTGATAACCAGCATCGTGAATTGCACCCGGAAAGCAAATGGAAGCCAGTGCAGCTCATGCAGCAATGGTGTTACTTGGGTGAACTGCAGGATACCCAAAACCGTGTGCTGCTGCATTCTGGACCAGTTGCAGTTTCTGGATGGTCTTCAAGGGCAGCCCCATGTAGAATGCATCACAGCAATCCAAACAGGGGGTGACTAAGGCATGGGTGACTGTAAGCAAGGCCTCCCGGTCCAGGAAGGGGGGCAATTGGCGCACAAGACAGATTTATGCAAAGGGCCCCCTAGCCATGGCTGCCACTTGCTCTTCTAGCTGGAGCTGTAAGTCCAAGAGGACCCCCAAATTGCACCCCAGATCTGTACGGGGAAGTGTTACCCCATCCAGAGTCAGAGATATTAACTCTCCTGACCCTGGGGGCCAAAACCCACAACCATTCCATCTTACTAGGGTTGAGTCACAGCCAGTTTCTCCCCATCCAGGTCCTTACAGCCTCCAGGCACTGAGCCACAACCTGAACAGCATCACTTGCCCAGCATGGGGTAGAGAAGTATAATTGGGTATCATCAGCGTAGTGATGACACCAAACCCCATGCCAGCAGATGACTTCTCCCAGTGGCTTCATACAGATGTTAAATAAGAGGGGAGAGAGACTTGAGCCCTGAGGCACCCCACATGATAGGTGCCTAGGGCTGGATCTCTCCTTCCCCACCAGCACTGACTGGTACCAGCCATGGAGAAAGGAGGAGAACCACTACAAAACAGTGCCCCCCACTCCCAGTCCCCAGAGCCAGTCCAGCAAGATACCCTGGTTGATGGTATCAAAAGCTGCTGAGAGATCCAGGTACTATATCCCAGCCTGAATCCTGACTGAAAAGAGTCTAGATAATCCAGATAAATTTCCCTAACATCCTATCCAAGATTTTAGAGTTGTAGTAAAAACAGCGATACGCTAAGCCTGAAATCTATTTGGCTTTGGTTTGACCAGGAACAGCCAAACGTCTTTTTTTTTTCCTGCCAAGTGCTTCATTCCCTCAGGAGTAATCTTTGGAGGTGGGTACGCAAGATGATGGTGGGCTGAGCCAAAACAAATTATGAGTAAGGGCAGAGGTAAAAGGTAAACTTTTTTTTTTTCTTTCTGACACCTGCTTTTTCTTTTTTGTTTCTGCGTCTTTTCCAGAAATCCTTTTCTTTCTCTGGTTGTCTTCATGTAATAGCTTACAGGGAAAAACAGATTGCTCTTGTCAGAGGTCTGAACTGCTCACTGGCAAGGGGTTTTTAACATTGGGCTAAGGACCACTGGTGGCCAACCCCCACAAGGTACCACTGCCCTCTCCCTGCCAGAGATCCTACTGCTGGTTTGCAGATCAGCCAGTGACCAAATCTTGTTTTAATTTATGTAATGATCTATGACTCTATGTATTGAAAAATGATTGATGTTCCCAATCAACTGGATGACCATGGCAACTGGCAGTACTTCCAAATGCAACTGACACCTTAAAGATCAGGCAACTTATCTGCATTGATGTTTGCCTGTACAGCTCCTCAAAAATTTAAAATGTCAAAGTGTAAACACGTCACCCTGGCATTTATGTATGGAGACTTCCATTTCTTACCATTCTCTGACTGCCACCAGGTCTTCTTGCGATGGCGGGCAAAGGCAGTGATCACGTTCTCAATGCGATGGCTGTTACGGTTGGACACAGGATCATAAGGTCGGCGTGAGTCGCACACAAAACACTTTTTCTCATCCTGTTAAAGAGATGGAGCCACGTGTGGGCTGTTCTCCCCGTAAAAATGGATTTGGGGGAGAATCTGGCATCGAAGGAAACTTGGCTTTCATCACATATAAAGAAAGAGCAATTAGCTGTTGTGCTGCAAAAAATTAGCTCTGAGCCCTGCAAGGCAGAATGCTGGTGAATTTTTTGCAGCAGCAACATGCAGTGAAAATGACTACGGGAGGTACAGTGTTCACATAGGAGTCTGCCATTTGTGTGGTTTTTAAAAGGTATTCTAAGCTCTCTGAAGGCTTCCGTACCTTTGAAAACTGTCAGGAAATCATGCCTCCATGATTTAATAGTATGCCACCACATTCTGGCACAGCATGTGGACTCTTGGAGGGGGGAGCAATTTGTACACATTCCTGGTTTTTAAAAATAATGTAGGTCAGATGCTGGCTCCTCCCCTACCCCAATCATCAGTTATAGAGTCGTTGAGAGTGGGATGGCATATCAGTTTAATTGTATTGTATTATTATATTATTATATGGGTAATCTACGATTAGATTCACAGTCAAAGACTGGTGAAAACTTAATAATTCAAGTCCTAACCAAGGACCTAAGAATTATTAAGGTAGCGTCTGAGGATATAGGCAGCCTCAAGCAGGGTATTTTTTTTTGTAAAATTAGGGTGTTCAGGTCTGATAAGTTCAAAATTTCAAAATATCGAGGGACTCCTTTAGGTATTGCTCCAATCATGATTGGTATAACAGCAGATTTCTTTATACTATTATTATTACTATTATTACTATTATTATTATTATTATTATTATTATTATTAGTTTGGTGTAGTGGTTAAGGCACTGAGCTAGAAACCAGGAGACTGTGAATTCTAGTCCTGCCTAGGCACGAAGCCAGCTGGGTGACCTTGGGCCAGTCCCTCTCTCCCATCCCTAGGATGCAGGCAAGGGCAAACCACTTCCAAAAAATCTTGCCAAGAAAACTGCAGGGACTTGTCCAGGCAGTCGTCAGGAGTCAAAAATGACTTGAAGGCACAATTATCATCATCGTCATCACCATCAGTCAATTGCCAAAGGCAGCTTTACTTGGGACAGCTTCCATCCTGCGACGATACCTTTAACACCATCAAACAACAGCATCTGCCTATCCCGGGTCCTTGGGAAGGACTTGATAGGTGGATAAAAATGCCAAATCCCGTCTAAACATCTGGCTGACTGTGCGACCAACCATAATAATAATTTCCACCTACCTTTGCTCTCCAACACTCACCTGCAAATGACTGACAATGCAGTAAGGCTGTGGGTGTCGCAGGCCACAGGTGGAAGTGGCAGAGACTCGATCAGCCCTGCCGACGAGCAGATCTCCCGTGGCTGGATAGCAGCTGCCTTGGGAACAGCCACGGGGATGTTCAGGCTCTTGGCACAGCACTCTGCCCAGCACTGTGGAGACAGAACATGCCAAAGAAACATTCACCATGGAGACAGGACGTGGCACGCTGAACCGTTGGGCCCCAAATTACAAGCGGAGAATGAGATTCCACTTGGCGGTATTTTGATTTGCTCAAAGCAAAGTCTGAGTTTCAGATAAAGCAAAACAGTAGTTTTCCAACTGAAAGATTATTGGAAGAGAGACTTTTTCCACTGCATAATTATTCAAGAGCAAGTTACTGGACTAAGGCAAGAAACAGATTTAGTAGCCATCAAAAAAGAAATCTCAGATCTGTAGATAAAAATTGGTTCATCAAAAATTGTATTTAGGGTATACTGGACTCCTCAAAGAATGTATTTAGAACTGTAGACAGCAGATTTTTTTATGCTGGAGGTGAAAAAAAATTGAGGGTCCATCGACCCATATGATATGTGATCATTTGATATTATTTTGGAATAGTGTATTAATGTACGTAAGTAGATTTATGGGAAAATCTCTAAATGTTAAGGATGTGATGTTGAACTACATATCAAAGCTTTGGAATCTGATTGTTTATCAAGAATTATGGTTGCATCAACCATGGTGGGTGGCTAAAAGAATTACATTGAGAAATGGGAAAAGTGATATTATTCCAGATGTTAAGGAATGGTTGTTGGAAATGTGTGATCTATGTTTTGGAGAAGGCAGTATTTTCTACGAATCAAAGAACGCAACAATATGTGTTACTATGGCAGAGATTTTGTGACATTTTACAATACTGTTTTGCATTGATTATAAGTGGTACCTCGGGTTACAAACGCCTCTGCTAACAAACTTTTCGGGTTGCGACCAGCTCCAGCCGCAAAAATTTACCTTGGGTTACGAACCAGATCCGTGGCCATTTTCCGCCGTTCCACGTGGCCCGCGGCCATTTTTCCGCCTGTGCCACGTGGTCCGCGGCCGTTTTCCCGCCCTGCCGCGTGGTCCGTGGCCGTTTTTCCACCCCTGCCGCGTGGTCCGCGGATGCGGACAGATTAACGGTAATTACATTGAACCTTATAGGAAAATTTGCTTCGGGTTGCGACCAAATCGGGTTGCGACCAGAGTCATGGAACGGATTAAGATTGTAACCCGAGGTACCACTGTATTAGTGTATTTATTAGTAAACCAGTGACTACTGATAAGGGTAATATCGAACTCGACTGAACACAGGTTAGAGCCACTACTAAGGCCTATCAAGTGGCGGTTAGGGTGGCAAAGCTACAGCACTCCCCCCACCCTTATTGCATCTGCAGATTGCCACCCCACAGCCCTGTTTCGTGTGATACAGGCCCTCTTGGGTACAAGGGGCCCGGACAACCTCCTTGAGTGAGGGGGTTGTTCCTGCACTTCTTAAGAAGGCTTTGGTTCACCCCCTCCTCAAGAAGCCATTGCTGGACCCCACAATTTTCATCCAGTATCCAACCTCCCCTATTTGGGGAAAGTGATTGAGAAGGTGGTTGCGCAGCAGCTTCAGAGGACCTTGGATGAAATGGATTATCTGGATCCTTTTCAGTCAGGGTTCTTTAGGAAGCAAAAAGCAGAACAGTAGCATTCAGAAACTGACCAGAAGTGACCAAAAAGGTGTGTCCACATCAGCTTGAAAACCCAGGAAGTGCCTTACTCCCCCTGCTGACCACCTAAGTTTGGCTCCCATGTCAGGGGTAATGAAACCTAACACATTTTCCACACCCTAAGGCTAGCACTGGATGGTGTGGGAATAAGAGCAAAACTTTATTTTAATACCACCCCTACAGCTAAAAATAAATTAAGCTTATCTCACTAATGAGCTGGGGAGGAGATGAAGGAAACATCATACGAACAAAGTGGGAAATTGCTATAATCAAGGAAAGACTGTGCTGTGGTTAAATGCAAGTGGGGGGCACAGACTGAGGCACTCAGACTAGGTTTCTGAAAAAGCAAGGATTTAGAGTTCAAGAAATAGCTCTGAAAATAAAGGAAGGACAAACAAAAAAAACACAGAGCAGATATAGCTAAGCACTTGGTTAAAATTTACTAAATTCAATCAGAAAAATGTATGGCCAAGTCCTCTGCATATTTACTGAGAAGTGGTCCCCTGGGGGCTAAATGGAAATGATTTCCAGGTAATTATGTAGGTTATTTTCACTGAAATCAGAGTGTTTTGTTGGCTGCATAATACCCAAATTAAAGAAAACTCATCATCAACGCATTCTATTTCTTACTAGGAAATAGGTATTTTTTTTCAGACTCCTGAGGAAATAGTTTATTGAAAGAATGTCTGTTTTATTCTATTTATTTTTTTAACTGTAATGGTTTTCCTGTAAGCACAGCTTATTTTCCATTTGATCTGCTGCTTTGACTTCTTCTTTCTTGACAATGTGTAGGGAGTGATTGGCAAACACTCAACAGTCTTGTGCATTCCACAGCTCCTGGCCCCCAGTCAAGTTTTTTTTTTTTTTACTTAAATACACCTAACCCCCTATCAATTAACATCCATCATCACATACCATCATACCAGGGCTGTCTTTCTCAGTCTAATGGGGGAGGAAGGGGGAAGAGGAGGGCTAAATCATTTTATTCAGAACAAAGTTACTTATACATGCAAAATTATTAAACCTGAATACTATCACATTTTAATGGAGATTTGGAGTTTCTTTAGACAGAGCATGGGTGTTCTTCAGTTTGTTTATTTATTATTCAGATTTAAAAGGTGCTTTTCAAATGGTTCCCCTCCCCCAAATTTTATGTTTAGAAAGAAAGCATGATATATTCCTACATGACTCAGATTAATCAAAACTCTAAGCTTAAGCAGATAGAGACTAAAAAAAACCTGCCTTGGACAAAAGATTTTAAGAGCCCCACTCAAATTTCTCAAATTACTCAAAGAAAGTAATAAACAAAAAATAATGGTAATAATTCAGAAATTGGTGTAGTGGTTAAGGCACCAGGCTAGAAACTGGGAGAGGGTGAGTTCTAGTCCTGCCTTGGGCACGATGCCAGCTGGGTGACCTTGGGCCAGCCATTTGCCAAGCCCCAAACTGCAGGGGCTTGTCCAGGCAGTCACTAGGAATCAAGACTGACTCGAAGGCCATCATCATCATCATCGTTGTTGTCATCTTCATCATCCAGAGCTAGTTTTAAACCTGGAATGATTTAAACTTGCTCTGGTGTGAGTCACATTCCCCATCTACAAAATGAAACTCAAAACTATTTGATATTATGGTGAGAAGGAGGAGGAGGGCCTCCAACATGCTCTGTAGATTCAAAAACTGGCAGTGGCTCTTTAGCATCACGATTTGCCAGTCTGGATCTATCTATGCCCTGCAGCAGGGAGCTACCAGCTCAGTGATCCTCAGGCTGGCACAGGTTAATATTCACACTACTGGCCCTAAAGGATCCTAGCGGATCTTTCACATAGAACTGGGCTTCCTTCCTTCAGATTCCTCATCCTAATTCTTCCACCTGTTTCTGTGGCTCATGCAAGGGTGGGGTTGGAAAGAGAAATGTCAAAGCCGCCCTCCCCTCCCCTTCCTTTAGGCCTGAGAGCGGAAGCTGCAGCACTGCCAGAAATAACCCTCGCAGGGATTGGCTCTGTTGTTCAGCCAGCCTGGCCCTAGGCCAGGGGTGTGGGGGCTGAGGGTTGAATTTGTGAACGATGGCTGAGTTTCAGAGAACATCTCCTCCTGAGAGGCGGCTGCAGGGAGGTGATGACACAGCCTCAGGCAGGGATCCCATCCATGTAAGTGTGGGTCCTGCTGGATGCCATGGGCCTGACTTTCTGTCCATCCTACCCTACCCAATCTCCTACTGCAGGATGGCATGCAAAGCATTCTTCCATCCACCTGCTTCTTCTAAAGCCTGTCACCCCAGCTGGGACGGCTACAGCTGCTGGGGAGGTGCAGCAAGCAAGGATCCTTCAACCTCCCCATCACCCTCTCGGGCTTCCAGGCACCTGGCCAACTCCCTGAGCCTCAAATCCTCTGGAGCCAAAACTTCAAAGGGAATCAGGAACAAAGGCTCCAGCTGGTGGAAACGGGTGTGCAGCTTCCCCAGAACCAAGGTTGGTTGGAAATCAGGAACGGACAGACCACACACTCCACGTACTCCAGATGAATTAGGAAAAAAAGATATGCAGAGTGGAGGTTAATGGGTAGGTAGATAAAAATACATAACAGACAGACCACCGCATGACCAAACACACGATTATTTAAACAATCTGGAAGTGGATTACAACTCTCAGAACTGCCCACCCAGCATGGATATTCTGGAAGTTGAAGTCCTTACGTATGGAGGGCGCCAAGGTTGGGGAAGATTCCACAAACTCATACTCACAAGCGTAAAACCCTGATCCCGTGCAAATGAGACTCATATCCCAATTATTAATATGAGGATTGAATCAAGGAAATTAAGGAGTAAAAATCCACATTCCACATGCCACTTAGAGGTAAAGGGAGGCTTAGTCTCTGCTCCTATGGCAGGCGGTGTTTCTCGACTATTTACTCTCACGGAGGATATGATGCAAGCCCTCTGGCTCTCAGAGCAGCATCCCCAATCGGGCACTTATTCCAATATCCCTCTCAGTCTCTGAGACTTTCTCCTGCACAGACACCCATAGGACTGAGCTGCTGGTTATTTGAGCAGAGGACTGTCGGATTAAAAATCGTATCACTGCCTTCGGAAAGTGGCACTTGTTGATTTTCTGCCTCTTGCGCCAATGTGGAAGGAGATCAGCCTGTTCAGAATAAAAGGGGCAATCCCAAACCAGAATATTAAATCCCACCCCCCACTTAGAGGAGTAGCTGGGACTCCCCCACCCCCATTCATCCCGAAAGCAGAGGGATCACGGGCAGCCCCAAACCCCCACACAGTAATTCGGAGCAGATCGCTATACCCAAAACCGGACTGACAACCCTCTGCTGCGCCTTTCAGAGGAGAGTCTCGTCTCCAGGTCGATTCCCGGCTCGGGAGGAAGGATGTGTTTGTGGGGCTGGAAGGTGGTGGCTCGCTCGGGGACGGCCGAGAAGCTCCCCGCTCTCTCCGTGACCCCTCGGCCCTACTCAACGGGCCCCGGCCCCCCAGGAGAGAAAAACCTCGAAGCCACGGCGGCGCCCTTGCCCCCGGCCCTCGCCTCCTCTCCTCCTCCCTCCCTCCCTCCCTGCCGCCCACCCAGCCCGGAGGCTGCAGGCTCCTCTCTTCCAGTGTAACCAACTCTTCCCGCCAACTAGGCATGTCCGGCGGGGTTTGACAGGCCAGGCCGGCCGGCCGCTCCCCCATCTCTGAGAGGGAGCCGAGGTGGGCGCGAGGGAGACTCACCTGCCAGTAGCACACCCCACACTCTCAGTGGGGAGCCTGATGCCGCCGGGCTGGAGGGAGCCATGGCGAGAAGACGCTGGTCCGCAGGCGGCAGCCGAGAGATGCTGCTGGGACGGGGGACCTGAGCCGGAGATCCCAAGGGCAGGGCAGGGCAGGG